TTCGTAATTATATTTTTTAAAAGCGTGGTTAACAAATTAGAAACATCTCAGCAGATAGATCTTTAATTTTGAAGCCAGTGCATTTTAGTCTTATGTTATGTATATGGCAACTCTCAAGGTTGTATGAAAAATTATTTCATCAAAAGCTATTTATGTCCCATAGAGATGGCCATTATGGATTCCTCTGAACTGAATGCGAGGCTCAAATTTTCAGATTAGCCTTGTGATGTTAGATGCCCCATTTCTCCCACAATTAAGTAAGAATTTTGATGCCTCTTATGCAGCTATGTTTGGCCAAATACTCAAGTGCAGAAAAGAGAACTAAAATTAAGAGAGTTGCATTCAGCTGAAGGTACCTGGGTTCCAGGTAGCCTGGATTTCCAATATAGATAATTCCGAAATGCTCAATGCACATTGCAGAGCATCCAAAGTACAGTGCAGTATCTTGCTCTGTAATCCCTCTGGTGGGTGCACGTGCTGGAGTTGGCTTCGTTCAGGAAGAGGACAGGCCATTAGCCAGCGGATCAAAGCACCGGGGTGCTTAGCAGCTGCTAGTGGCACAACTCAGGGTAAGAGCACCCCAGGGAATATGGAGTAATGGAAATAGTCTCCCAGCTGGAACTTGATCAATAATACTTGGGAAAGCTGCCTACAAGAGCTTTATCAGACACTTGTATCCAGACTGGTATCGACTCCTGCAGGGAGGAAGGAAGGGAGTGGTGTGAAAACAGTACCCTGTTCTTGGGCTTTTGTGGCTAAGTATCACTGCTAGTTAGATCCATCCCTAATGCAGATCCTGCAGTTGTTGCCTGGAATTTGAAGTTCTTTCTATTTTACATGTTGCTTTTAAAGTAATGAACAATCTAAAATGACATATTTGTCTTTGAGGGAATCCTGTACCTTGATCCCTTTTCATATTAGGAGTTAAAAAGAACACATTTCAGAATAATATCTGGCTTTATTTTAAAATAAGTGTTTTGAGTCAAATATCTTAATTTGTCTATATTTATATAGAAAATAAAAGTGTGTTCAGTTGAAATGCAATCCCACGTGTAAATAGCATTTTACTTTTTACCTTTTTTTAAACCTGCAATGAGCGGTATTAACTAAGATCTAAAATAATTTATACTGTTCTTCTGAAATACTGTAAAGCTGGGTTTGAGGGTTGGGGTTTTTTTATAATTTGGTTTTGTTTGTTTTTGTAAAGTATCATATCTTTGCCCAAACAATCAGTGGAATAATATCGGCATGAGGCTTGAGGTCTGCATGAAGATTCTGCCTGCATGCGCTGTTCCTTGGGCTCCAACGTAACAGTTACTTTCAGGATTGCTCCAGTGACAATATTTTAATACAACTTTCCTGGCCATTCCTAAAATTTCTGGGTTTAGTATGAATAAAGTACTAGAGCTGAAACCAGAGTTAACAATTCTGTACTGCAATATTTCAGTTAAATTGCAGGTTATTAAATAAAGCAAACCAATTTCTGATCTTACTTAATGTACATTTCCAGTAATTCAGGATCTGATGTCAACAAAAAAAATGTTTTAGATAGTGCAAAGAAGTGAAGTAATTGGATTATCTTTCAGGAAATGTATAGTGTTTATTTCAAAGTATTTTAGCATAATACAGAGCTAGTAGAAGGATTTGCAGTTTACAGAGTAGTTGTTTGAATCAGATGGTCATAATGTCTTTTTCTAGTACAGTTGGTTCTTGGCTACGATGGACTGGAGGAATTTCTCTTTTCTTACTGGCTGTGCAATTCTCCTTCAGTTCTCTGCCCTGTCTCCGTTTCCTCGAGAGGTGTAGCCCACCTTGAACTCACCATTTTTTAGTTCATCTGAATCTTCCTGGGCTTAGGTTTGTTTTAGAAGTGGTCTCTTGGTAAGAACACACAGGACAAGCAGAGCTTATGGGTTATTATGGGGAAACCCAAGAGCTGCTTTTCTTGTGCTCTGCAAGTCTTTTGCCTCTCTTTATATCAGCTTTTTACACTGTTCATTTGGCAGATCACATTTCTCCACTGCCAAAGGTCTGTAGTTGGTTTTCTGGGTATTACCAGTCATGCAGCTCATGTTCTGGACCATAACTGGGCCAACTCTTATGTGCTGGAGCCTCACATTAGCAGTTAGATGTAGTTGTTAGTGACTGCCATTCAGAAGCCATGCTAGACCAAGGAGATAAGGAAATGGTGCAGGATTCACACAACTCATGCATGGTTTCTCTGACATCTGAAATTCAGATAATCCACATTATGAATCTAATTACAAGCAATATAGGCAACAGAAATATTTGTGCATAATTTATGCCTGTCTCTAGAGCTTTAAAGAGTGACTCCTTAAATATGTACGGAACTTTAAGGATATGAGTATCCCCTTTGTCTTGGTGGACTCTGAACTGATTCATACCAAATGGTCCTATTTTCCTGATAATGATGTATGTAAAAGAGGGTATGTGTTTAGCAACAGCAATATATATGAGTTGACTGGGATTGACTTTCCACTTTTTGGGTCCCTTTGAGGACTCTGGCATTAATGCTGCTGCTGCTGATATCCCTGGATTGGTCATGTTTATGCAAACTCCATGCAGTGCTGTAGGTTTGTAATACCACTTAGAGGCACTTAATGGACGCTTGTGATTCACAGGGAAAAAAAAAACAATATCGTTTGCCAAAAAAAACCCAATCCAACCAACCCAGAGGGGAAGCAATTTTGTGTTCTTTATCCTGGATTATAATGACATAAGCCTCTAGAGAAATTCCGATAGCTCTAACCAGGGGTTGAATGGAGAGCAGTCAAGAGCAATGAAACTGAAAAGCCTTGTTTTTTTGCTGCTGTTGATGAGTTTCTGATCAGACAAAGCAATGCACACAGAGAATCACCAAGCAGACTGGTGGAGCTGACCCATTAAATTAAATTTCTCCTGTATTGCAACTAGATGATCTCAAGAAACTGTGTCAAGTGTCCCTGTACATGTACAGTGGGTAACCATGTCTTTTCATATGGTGAACAATGATAAGCATTCAGCAAATGGTATGATTTGTGAATAAAGGTAAAGCTAAAGGCAGGTAAGCTGCAGCAGTGTTCCTGTACTGTCCAAATGAATTGATGTGGATTGATATGATCTATACCAGTCTTGACTTCAAAAATAATATTTTAGCTGGGTTCTTCCTGGGGACATCAGTCTGCCTGCTTGTCTGAGTCCTCTTGCAAGATCAGAACCTGACCATTATTTTGCACAAGCCATTGCATCATCAAAGTTTGTAATTCCAGATCAGTTTATACTTGTATGAGTTACGCATCAAGAAAAATTAGCACATTACCTTTAAAAGGCTCAGTGAACAAAAAAATACAAACTCTCTGAAAAAGATGTTTGTCCTCTAGTAGTGAGAAATATGCTTTTTCTCAATTCTTTGTTCTAAACCACTTGTTTTTCTTTTTTTCCTGAGAAGTGAAATTTAATGCATTTTCTGAAAAGGTAGACCGCTCTCAGTTCTTTCTCTTTTTAAACCACACGTTTTGCAGCATGCTTTGCCAGCACTTTGCATAAAATCTGTTGTTCACCTTAAATGAAATTAAGATAGGACAAACATAATTGGAGACCTAAGCCTCCCCCTGCCACATTCTCCTGTCTTTCTACAGTAGAATTAGGGCACTTTTTCTACTTTCAAGTGCTGTCCTCAGCTTCAGCACAAATTGGTTTATAGTGAAGGATTCACTGATAGGAGAACATCTGGGATATTGAAGTATAATAGGTATGATCAAAGTGAAAGATGTAGCAGGATGTTTCTCATGACATTTCAGTCCAAAGGAGCACAGCCAATTGCTACCTGACTTATAAAGATGCCAACATGGCTTAATGAGATCCTCACAGGTATGTGTGTGAGTCTAAGAGAGTTTGGGAGCAGCCTCTTGTCCAGTTTGTAACTGGTTATGCAAACATCTCTGATCCACTGGTGCCAAACTAATGGGAGTGGTTTCATACCACCCTCAAAAGCATGACTCCCCCCAAAAGGCTGCTCTCTATCTCTCTGAGATTTGCAGTGTATTGCAGATGGATTGAACTTAAATCATGCAAGAACAGAACAACTCTGGAGCCAATATGCAGCAGTTTGAATGCTTCCAGGAAGCACTGGATTCAGCGTGCATGTGCTGATGGCTCCATCTCCTCAACTGTGGTAAAATGTTCAGAAGTAGAGAGCAAATGTGCACAATCCTGGAATTTTTCTCATGAGAGTATATGGGTGGAGGCCCAAGCCAATTAGGTTTTGAAAATACACTGTGGTGTATTCCAGAAAAGACTGGCAGTATCTGTTTAGTCAGCAGTCAGTGAGAGAAGATTGCTAAGAGAGAGGTCATTGCAGTGTAAGAACAGCTGCTATTCCTCAAATAAAAGAGAATTCCTGTGTGCGGACCCTGGCTAGTGAGTTCGTAATGCAGATAAGGCACGGTGAGGAGTGCTGGTACAACAGCAGGTGCTGCTTTACAGTGGCTCTAGGCAGTTCAGTGATAAACCACTTGTCCAGCAGGAGAAGTCCAATCTCACACTTTGATTAAGAGTCTTCTCAAAATCAGACTGCCGTTTCATTGGATTTTCAATCTCATGATGTTTAGCTTCCACCTGAAATTCTGTATTTAATCCTTAAATTTCTGTAATTATGGAAGAATGATTTTTTTAGAAGCTGTCAGCTTTGACTGCTGCATGGAAGAATTTGAGAATGTCAGTTATAAAGGTTCAGATATTAAAATATGAATGAAAGGAACCTCTATGTGGTTTATGAAATTGTTGTTGGTTTATGACTTGAATAGTTTGAAGTCATGAATGATACTGCAAGAAACTGTGATTTTTATTCTGGTTTGGTGCATTTAAAAACATAAATATTTATTACAAATTTCTATTCCCATTTACAAAATATTTGCTTTTTGTAAGTCCCCTTTAATTTGATTCCGATGGATACGGTTCCAGTCACTGATGTTTTGTTTTTTTTTTTTTCTATTTTTCAGTTACACCAGCAGAGTTGTTTCCAATGGACTGAAGGCACAAACTAATAATCCAGAACTGAAAGTCAGAGGACTGGACCCACTCATCAGTAATTTAATTGATAAACTTCAGCACTTTAATCAAGTAAGCAATTTTTGGAGAGAAATGCATTTTATCACTGGGTTTGATAGCAGAACTGAAGCTAACAGTACTAGGTGGTACTGCTTCTCATCTTACATTTCCCAGGATTAGACCTGAAATAGCTATGGAGTGGGCCTGGTACTAAGGGCAATTTGAAGATTCTGTTGTGCCAGCTCATTTATGAACTCTAATGAGGCAAAATTATTTCCCTGGAAGTTCCTCTAATTCCTGGCTGCTGTTCCATAGCTGTTGATTATCTGTCCTACAGTCCACAGTCCCAAGAACATGGAGGAACTCCTGAGCCCCACAGTTCACATGAAGCTTGTGACTCGAGTCAGGCTGTGTGAGTGCCTTTAGGAGTCCTGTGATATTCTTGTGTTGGAGGAATATATCCTTGTTTGTGCAGCCTCGTTTTTTTCAGTGGTGTAGACATAAACAGATGAGAAGACAGAATGGGTCTATAAGGGTGGGATAACTGAGCTGTACGGAATGCTGAAGTCAGGACAGAAGGTGCTCCAGGATGAATTAACCTTGTGCCTTTGAAAACATTTCCTTGGCAGGCCTTGTTCTCAAGCCCCTCAGCCCAAAAGGAAAGATAACGTACCAATGAGTTTGTCAGAGGCATGAGGTAGTCTGCCTCTACCAGCTATTTGGGTTCCCTTAGATGCACTTGCAGCCCTGGTGCATCTGCTGTCTCTCAAAGCTGAATGCATTATTCTCTGATATTACTGCTTCAGCACACCTCTTTGGGAGCTCTTAAAGTAATGCCAGTCCAAATGAGATGGAGCTAACAGATTTAACAGAGACTGATTTTCATTTAAAGTAGGCATGTTTTCTTGTCGGCTTGGAGGAATGCTTACAACAGTGTGTTCGGAGTCAGGTGTGTTTGCACATTAGTCTACCCGTAATCTTTCACTATTAAAGAGTGATGGAGCGTGGGGATATAAATAGTTAGTAGAAAATCGCTGTAAGATTAAAGTCCACCTTTGCAGGTGGGGTGTGCAGGAAGAAAAATCACCTGCACAGGTAAAACAGGAGAAGGAATTGCTTAGTCAGGATGTGGGAGGTTATTATGACTGTGGCTGTGACCGGGACCCATGGTTTGATCTCCTTCTTGCTCCTGCAAAAGTGCAACCCTCCTTTGCCTCTCATCAACCACCAGTGGTAAATCCATAATCTAACCAGTAATTAGTGTTTTTGTTAAATCCTGCTTGGCTTTAATGTTCTTCTATTGTTCTGTAGACTGCAGTTGAGGGATTCTTTGTATTGCACTGTTTGATTTAACTTGCCATGGGGGATTACAACAACCAGTCTGATGCAGTACTTAATATTACAGTGAAACAGACATTATGTGGTCAGATTGATGAAAAGGATAATTCATTATTTATCTGACTTTGCATGTTATAAAGTAGAGTGTTAATTTACTTTATAAATATTAGATATATCCATCTGTGTAATAGTCTTCTATAAACACTGACAATAGGAAATAGTTAGAAATAGATTAAATTAAAAGTAGCTGTGTATTGGAAATTCTATTTCTTTGTCTGCTGTAGAAAAATAAAAATCTGAACGGTCTCATAATGAGCTGCATACCAATTTTCTTAAGTTATGTACGCTTAAAAACAGCTTCAAAGAACACTTTTTAGTCAGAAGAATAAAATCCAGTTCCTAGCTCTCCCTGTAAGTTGGAAGTGTTGCTTTCTGTTACTTTTAATTCTGTTCTAGGAGAATATCATCCTTAAGTAAATGTAACTCCCATCAGATTGAGGTGCTTAGCAATAATGGGTTCCAAGGGTGAAGGATTAAACAGAATACTGATTATTGCCCTAAGATGGTTAGTTCTTAAGTGCTTGGAATAATATAAATTCCTTTGATCATAATTTTAGTAAGATTTCTTCAGAGATCAAAGCATCAAAGAAGTTGCTAAATATCTAAGGCTTTCACATACAACATCAAACATGTGTAGCTGTTTTCTGCTTCTTGAATTTTCATTTCGGTTGTGATATTAATATACAAATAAAAACCAACACTGAAAAGCCGATTAAATGAGTTTAAAGTATCATCAATAGTGTGTGTAGACTGTAGAGAGGAAGACTTATACAGAATCCCATTACTCATTTTACAGGCAAATTGATTTTTTTCTTTTTTTTTTTTTTTGAGGCAGTATGTAAGGTGGAATTTATCAGTGATAAAATAAGGTGTTATCTTTGTATATTCTTAAGTGTTTGAGATTTCCCACACCATTTTAAGCAATAGTTGTATATTGCATATGTAGAAGCAATGCTAGAGAGGCAGGAAGCCTGGAGAGCAGAGAACAAAGCAATGCACAGAACGTACATTGTAGGTGATTTGATTTGTCTAGGCCTCAGTAATCTTCTACCACTTAAGCAATATTGCTAAACTACCCAGAAGAAAGCATGTTCTTGGGTAAGAGAAAGATGTGCTGAGATTTTCAAAAGAAATAAAATTTCTGTCTCAACAAAACAAGCTCCAGCCATGCTGCATCTATCCCTCAGAGAGCCTGTTGGCTTTCTCTTTCTCTCTCATTCTGTTTTGCAAAGGTGAGTGTTTTTGAAAATCAGAATAATCTGCTGCTAGATCAGTTTGCTGAGGTTGTGGAGTACTGTCAACTACAGCTATGTTCAAATCAACAGGATTCATTTTTCTAAAAGATGTACCTTAGCTCAGCAATTCTTAATGATTTCTGGAGCAAATCTAATCGCTGCTGTCTTTAATAGATCCTCTTCCACCTCCTGTCTGCCACTGCTGGACCCCAGCTCTTCCTCATCGCTCTGCAACTACTGCTGCAGCCTCTTTCCCCCGTGCTGGCAGTCCCGGGCTATGGAAGCAGCAGCGTGGTGCAGCAGGGTCAGCAGGGCCTGAGATAACATGGGCCTCTGGCGACTGGGGTAGCAATGCAGCACAAGGCTGGGAGGAAGAGTGGCTTGTCACTGGCCATGGAGAAGTAGCAAGCCATTCACTTAAATCCAAAACTGACCATCTTGGGTGTGCAGCAGCCATTTCTTTGTTAGCTCCTTATTACGACTTATCCACAAATGTAAAGAGAGCTTCATTGATCCTAAATCCCATGGACATGAACAAAACTCTTGTCAATGTATTATTGTTCTAGCCAGTGCATCCCAACTCCAGCATATTACAAATAATCTGTATGCAAGTTGTCTTCCATTGCTGCCTGTCATTTAGACTGAAATGCCAATTCATTGGAGATTATAGCAGTTCCTCATTTTTTCATCTGGGACTTAAATCCTCACCACATAGTTGTTGTTTTTTTAAAAAATGATTATGCAAATAGGAGGCTATTTCATAACCACTTTGCAAAGCCAAAAGTAAAGTGAAATTTAGAGAACATTATTCAACAATGACTGTTATTTGCATCCCTGGTATTTGAAGGGTTTATTGTAGCTGCTGATTCACATATCAATAGAATTACCAAGTTACAATTTACATTAACCCTTAGTAATGCAAAAACAGATCAAGTGAAGTCCCAGGTTGATTTTCAAGAAGTAGCAGTTAGAAATAACATCTTTTCCTCCTTTTTTTTTGTAAATAGAGCAGATGTGAATTGCAACTGATAAACATAAAATCCCCCATTGCGCCTTTTTTGACTTCCACTTCTTGCCACATAATCACAGTTAAATATGTTTTAATGTTCTTCTTCAGCATAATGTTTTTCACAGTTTAAACAAAAGCAGTTCTGAGGCCAAGGTTAAAAATCCTGAAGGATCAATTGCATTGAAAAGGAACAAGAATGTTAGGGAAAAGTGAAAAAGCTTTGACTATAACTTTACCAGTCAGGGTTGCGTGGGCATTCTCAAAGGATTATGATATAATAAGTATTATACAAGTTTAACTTTTTTGTCTTTTGTCAGCCTAAATCTCATCTTGACAGATTTTGAGAATCAGTGTGTTTTGCTGTTGTAAGTCAGAGATGAATGCTTAGGGCATGGCTGTAATCCAAGAAGACAGTGCAATATCCTAGCGCTTAAAATGACAGCAATGCCAAAGCAAATCTTGCTGAATCTGGACCCACATATTCTTTTTTTTTTCCTCCACCAAAGTCTCCTGGATCTGCCAGCTGAACCAAGAAATGCAGGTAACTTGAATTCCTTTTAGATTTGTGTAAAAAAGATGCCATCATAGCAAAGTTTGAATCACTGAGATGTTTCTTATCAATAATATGAGCTAGCCATAATTTAATCTCAAATGTGAATTTAATAGGTTAGACAATAGAGAATAATACAATAAATCATGTACTACTTAATTTAAAAATGTATATATATTTTTAGACATCTATAAAATTTATTACATTATAGACTTTTTATATTAGATTTAAGTGGAGACAAGTTGGTTTGATTTTCATCCAAACTTGTAGCTGACTTGGACTAAGACTCAAAATAGTCTGTTCTTCATTTCATCCAATGAAAACATAGAAAGAGAGGTAATCATCTTAGAAAGGCTGTTGCTATATTACTTCTAGTACTTGGGATTTAAGCAGCCCCAGCAGGCTTAGAAGTATTATTGCTGGCCCCCCACATACTGCTCAAAACCTGCAGAGACTTGTGTCTCTTACAAAACAGAACACCTTTCCCAGAACTGCCATATGCCTGGATTCCCAAAACAGGTCCTCTTTTTTTTTCTATCCAAAGCATTTGGAGACTTTGGACATTTCTTCAGGATTTCAGGTTCTCCATATCCCTTTTGGAAGTATGAAGCAAGAAATCTGGAAATTCCAGAGATATTAATTCTCTTGTCGGTGGCTAACCAAGCAGGCTATCTGTAATTTGAGGCACTGACTTTAATGTACATGCACAGATTAATAGAAAAAGACACACTGATGGGATTGGGCCTGGGTTCTACTTGTGCAGTGTGTACAGCATACTGAGAATCTGTGCACACATAGTACGCTTTCAAGGCATTCAGGATTTATTGCATGCAGACTCTATTATATGGATATTTCTGTGACAGTAATCCCATACAGAAAT